TACGAACGGTACTCAAAGAAGCTCCGCCCTTTTGTGTTCGCTTTCTTCTTTGTCTTCTTCTTCGTCTACCAGGCATTCTTATTATCCAATGAAAAGGATTTTTCCCATTACCCCCTTTTTTATACACTTTTTCACTCAAACTAGTGCACAGGCGCCTCCGCGGTTTTAAAGATGGCGGATAGAATGGAATGTGGAAATCCGACAATCTGATTGGTTAATCCAAGTCACGTGTGCTAGATACTTCATTCTGATTGGCTCTCCGCTATACTGGCCCGTTATACCACAAAGGATACTGGCATTTACGAACCCGAAGGTCTGAATATCACAGCAAGTTGTGCACGATATTTGAGGCATATCTTGAAATCGCGGCCTTCGTAATCTCCAAATAAGCCAATACACACTAGAATAAGCATCTTCTCGGAAGAAACGCATCTTTGGGATACATTGACGTCTCCCAAATGTTTTTTTTTTTTATGCTTTACACCCACGAATTTAGAGGTATTAGCTATTGCCGTCCCTGGCCAGCGCGAGAAAAACAACATTTGGTTCTGCAGTTAGTTTCAAATGAACAAGACAGCTGCGCCATCTTGAATCTAACAATTCGAGTGGTAGGTTGAATTGAGGGCTTTTTAGACACTCGATTTCTTATATGGCATCACTATGAAGACGTAATACAACTGATACACCTACACTACATAGTCCGTTACGCTGTTGCGGGAGGAAGGAAAATATTCCCGGAAGTGTAAACTCTTTAAGAGTTTCAGAGATTTTATCTTTGGCTGTCACAAAAAATTTACTCCCTCTTAAATTTACTGGGAAATATGAACTTACAAACTCCTTGTTGAAAAAATTGGAATTCATTTGACCGACATGCCGGTTGTTTCAATTTTTCTTTTTCCTCGGGCTGTTATAAAACAGTTTATAAATTGACCAATGAACAAAATATTTTGAAATACCGTTCGGAATTTGCCTTTTTTTTCTGCGTGCAAATTAAGGGTGGACAAAGTTTTTAAAACATTTTCCGAGAATTTCATGGGGTTCACCCTGAGAATTTTCGTCGGCCATAGTCAAGACGCGCCAAGCTAAGTGACATCGCCCTACAGTAGAATAATTTTCCAATTAACAATGTGTGGCGAGCGCGAGGAAACGCGCATTTTTTTCATTATTGTGATCAAAGCCCAATGATGTACCTAAATTGGTACTTACGGTATCAAACCATTGATTATGACAGGGTGAGCTTAATTTTTCTGTCGAGGTCGACGTGACTTAACATTAAAAGCGTTTTTGACGGAACAAACTAGTGAGCATCACTGCTCGAACTGAGAAAGTAAAAACTTGCATTTATCTCCCACGCGTTTTGTCTGACAATAGTAGACTTCATCAAGGAGTTTAACAAGCAGGGTAAATAAGCTTGCTCATATACAAATAGTAAATAAGTTGTCTCTTTACTATTGAAGCCAATGGATAGAATTCGCCAAGTGCGCCTACGGTGTTATACATGCGTGACATTTTTCGGACGTTACATGTACGAGTACGTGATCCGTTTGAGGGTCACAGATTTAGTGTAAATATTTGACCCGTCAGCATCACGTAACGTCTCTAGTTGACAGAGGTTTTAGAACGCTTCATTACATGGATTTGTCTTCTGCGGGTAGAAGGCTTAAAGCGAATTTCTCGGGCGTAATTTCCTTTGATTTCTCAATTGATGCTGTCGCAAACACAGTTTTGGAGTCACGAAACAAAAAAACTTCTCAAGACCTAGTTTCATGTTCTAATGGAAATAGATAGCAAATAAAAACACATTATCTTGAGAAATAAAGTTATAAATAACAGGGGTTCTCTGAAACAAATAGTGATAGAAGAGGTTTCAGTTCTGCTCAATATTGACATTTCATAGCCTACTTCCAAATCTGAGGGAACGCACTGAGGGAGCAAAATAAACATACATGTGTGATAATGCAAGGAAGAGAATAAATATACAAATAAAGAAAAAGGAGAAAACATAGGAACCCGTGTTGCAGCGTGCAGATATCTTTTGAGCAAAACCTACTCACCCTAAGCCCGATAGCATGCAAAGAAACTCGAAAGAGTGCTGTATATGAACTGGCTCGCACGTGCACGCAGGAAAAGCCACAACAATCAGCGAAAATAATAGCAAATGCAGATGATATTTGCAGTCAAAAGACAGGCAAATAAGATAACAAAGGATTAAGAACTTTCCAGAAGTGTCTTCTTGAAAAAAAAAAAAAGATACACAATTTTTACTTCTCATGAAAGGTCACGCAGTCACGCTACAAATACTATTTCTACGTGGAATTTCTTCATGGTGAAAAGTGGAAAAAAATACTATTTCTAATGGATTTTGTGGGGAATTTCTCGATGGTGGAAAGTGGAAAAAACATTTTCCAGTCTTATTTCCTGATGAATGTTGGGTTTTGTTTTGTACAAGAGCCCTATTTCCTGATTTTCGCATGTCTTCAAGTACTAAACGACAGAAGAGAGAAACACTACGATTTTCCCATCGATTTTTCACCTACATGCACCTCTCTAAACGTGAAATTTTCCATTCCTACAAAAAATCTCGAAAGTTTTTCACATTTTTTACCTTTCTTGATCAATCCTCTTGTATAAAAAGCTAAAAAATGTAGGTTTATTTGGTCAAGCGCCACCTAGAGCAAGAACTGCGTGACAAGTGTAGTTGAGAGAAACTTGTCACAGTCGCAGATTTTAAAAGGCATCCAAGACAAAAATACGGTAGTGCCCAAAGATCCCAAGAGGGAGTTACCCAATACATTCACATAATGGTTTCCCACATATCCCATGGTTTTTCCAAATGTACCAAGTAGTAAAAACATTTACAGGGCAAGGGTTGAAAGGATCATTGATGTTGCAGGGTCCACTGTTTTCTGGAAATTCAACAATTGGGACTCTGTTGGAGATGTTCTTTGTCAAGAGTCATGCTAATGGTACTTAAGAAAAAGGGAAAGAGAGCCCAGATCCCATCAGAAACACAAAATAGAGAACTGGGAGGAGGACATATTCCAAAAGAGAAAAGAATGTACCCCCTGAAATTACTACTCCACCTCTATCTAATCTGCAGATTGGTTAAAGTGCTGTTGCATCTCAAACTCACTCTGCTGTGCCTTTGAGCTCAGCTGACTTTACAAAAATGACAGTTCCTCAGCTTAAAGAAGAATTAAAGGAAAGAGGAAACAAAGGCATTGCTAAGAAAACAAAACATTAGCTTGTAAGATTATTGAAGAGCACAACTGACAAAGAAAACCAGTCAACCTCTATTTAAAAATAAATGACATTGTCATTAGATGCAGATTGTAAAAGTGGCATAGCATATAGCATTTGGCCAGCTAGTGGTTAATAGCTGTACCTGTTGTAATGATGGCCTGTTAATTAATACCCAGATAAGTGCAGATAAACTCAACAGGTTTATTTAATCTACACCAGCGCCATGTTACAGTACCATGATTCTTTTTGCACCGATAACTCTATATAACAGTAATGAAATGTCTAAACACTACACCTGTCCCACTTTATAAGATAGTCAATCTGAGAAATCAAAATTATTCATTTTACTACAAAACTCAAACGTTCTTTAAATATCAGATCACAATTTCTCTTCTACTGTAAGCTTATTAAGCTCCTTGAGCTCCGGAAATGTGACAGGAGTTTTACGTACTTTGTGATCCAGTGATCGCCTTGAAATGACTCGTTGGACTCTAACCCTTTAACTCCCAAGATCTCATTAGTAATTCTCCTTACTGTCTGCCATACAGTTCTTGAGATGTTAGTTTTGAGAATTTGGTATTGGATCAATTAATAATCTTCTAACTGATATTTTTCTTTATTCTCATCACTTGTGTGCTTTATATTGTATTGATATTGTAAGGAGAAATTCTGTCTTGGTCACTTATGGGAGTTAAAGGGTTAAAACATACTCCCCGACTGTTAGCTTTTCATCTCCTTTCCATCAGCTTTAAAAAGTCACTTGTGACTTGTGACAATTGCTTGAAATAACCACTTAGGGGCCCTTTTTCTCTGTTGCTCTGCCATTTAAGAGCTAGCAAAAATACATGCCCGTCTTGTTAACCACTGATAAAATCCATGCCTGTGATGGTGATCACTGACAACACATGCATCAGCAATATGAACTGCTGACTTATGAAATTGTTTGTCATGCCAATTGCTGGCAGGTGCCCAAAAATGAAAATTTTGATTTAAGTCAGCACATGTAGAAAGAAGCGCATCAACAACAAGTCCTTTAAAATAGCTTCATGCAACTGACACATAAAATCTTCTCCTGACCATTTTTTTTTTGAGTACTTGGTTATGAGGGTAGTCACATTGTTACACTGTGCGTGTTTGAATCCTAATGGGAACATTCAATTTCATGTTATTTTTTTGCTTCATCTCATTCTTGTGACAAAATGAAAACACCTATCTGTCTAATCTTGTATACATATCATTTGATTTGAGGAAAAAAGTGAGCACTAAATATATGGAAGGAATTTCAGCAGACTTTCAGCTGTGCCTCAATTTTTAACAGTGTGCTGGGCTGAACTAATTAGTCACAAGCAAAACTCACAACAATCAAACGCTTTCTTCAAATTAGAGCTTTAACATCAAGCTACTTCAAAAAGAAATACTTTTTGTTTCTGCTGCTCTGTTTTTTTTACCATGGATCTCCTCTAACATGTAACAAGCTTACTCTTGTCATTGACGTGTACTTCCAAAATCTGCCATCATTTCAATAATTGCTATATGTGAATGACCCAACACCAAGTTTAGTTACAATCCACTGAATTTCGTGAAGGGCAAAATGGAAAACTTTGCCTTTTTCACCAAAATATAGCTTCAATCTAACCTAAAGAGAGTGTATTGGCAAAACTTTATATCTATACTGCATCTGCTTCCCTATTGTGTTCATTTCATGTATTTTTTTGGTAATCTTAAATAAGATAGACTTACATGTATCAACAATAAAATCAAGGCAACCCCATGTGTTCCTCATAATGGTTAACAAGCTGGGAAGCACTGCTCAGTCCCTCCTGGCAAATCCAGCAAGTAAATGATTCATCATAATCTGAAGAATATGACTGCTGTCCAGAGTGCAATTTTTCATGTCTTTGTAGTGTTCCCTTATGAGTAAACCACTTATCACAAGCTTTGCACTGGAATGGCTTTTCTCCAGTGTGGGATCTTTCATGTCTCTGCAGATCTTGTTTCCTAGTAAACCGCTTGTCACAAGTTTTGCACTGGTATGGTTTCTCTCCAGTGTGGGATCTTACATGCACTTGTAGATTTCCTTTACGAGTAAACCGCTTATTACATGTTTTGCATTGGTATGGCTTTTCTCCAGTGTGGGATCTTACATGCACTTGTAGATTTCCTTTACGAGTAAACCGCTTATTACATGTTTTGCATTGGTATGGCTTTTCTCCAGTGTGGGATCTTTCATGTCTTTGCAGATCTTGTTTCCTAGTAAACCGCTTGTCACAGCTTTTGCACTGGTATGGCTTCTCTCCAGTGTGAGATCTTTCATGTACTTGTAGATCTCCTTTACGAGTAAACCACTTATTACATGTTTTGCACTGGTATGGCTTCTCTCCAGTGTGGGATCTTTCATGTACTGTTAGATGTAAAGCACTTACCCTTTTGTGCAAACCACTTGTCAGTTTTGCACTCCAGTGTGGGATCTTTCATGTACTGTTAGATGACCCTTTTGTGCAAACCACTTGTCACAAGTTTTGCAATGGTATGGCTTCTCTCCAGTGTGGGATCTTTCATGTACTGTTAGATGACCCTTTTGTGCAAACAACTTGTCACAAGTTTTGCAATGGTATGGCTTCTCTCCAGTGTGAGACCTAATATGAAGTTTAAGATTGCTTTTCTGAGTAAAGCACTTATCACAAGTTTTGCACTGGAAGGGCTTCTCTCCAGTGTGGGATCTTTCATGTCTTTGCAGATCTTGTTTCCTAGTAAACTGCTTGTCACAAGTTTTGCAATGGTATGGCTTCTCTCCAGTGTGAGACCTAATATGAAGTTTAAGATTGCTTTTGTGAGTAAAGCACTTATCACAAGTTTTGCACTGGAAGGGCTTCTCTCCAGTGTGAGATCTTTCATGTACTGTTAGATTACCCTTTTGTGCAAACAACTTGTCACAAGTTTTGCAATGGTATGGCTTCTCTCCAGTGTGAGACCTAATATGAAGTTTAAGACTGCTTTTCTGTGCAAAGCATTTATCGCAAGTTTTGCACTGGAAGGGCTTCTCTCCATTGTGGGATCTTTCATGTCTTTGCAGATCTTGTTTCCTAGTAAACTGCTTGTCACAAGTTTTGCAATAGTATGGCTTCTCTCCAGCGTGAGACCTATTATGAGCTTGTAGATTTCTTTTCTGAGTAAACCACTTGTCACAAGTTTTACAATGGTATGGCTTATCTCCAGTGTGGAATCTTTCATGACTTTGCAGATCTTGTTTCCTTGTAAACCGCTTGTCACAAGTTTTGCAATGGTATGGCTTCTCTCCAGTGTGAGACCTACTATGAACCTGTAGACTTCTTTCCTGAGTAAACTGCTTGTTACAAGTTTTGCAATGGTATGGCTTCTCTTCAGTGTGAGACCTATTATGAGCTTGTAGATTTCTTTTCTGAATAAACCACTTGTCACAAGTTTTGCAATGGTAAGGCTTCTCTCCAGTGTGGGATCTCTCGTGGACTTCTAGATCTCTTTTTTTATCAAAGCACTTGTCACAGGTTTTGCACTGGTATGGCTTTCCTCTAGTGTGTGATCTCTCATGTCTTTTTAGATTTCCTTTTCTCGCAAAACACTGGTCACAATTTTTGCACTGATATGGCTTTGCTCCAGTAGTGGATGTTTTTCTTTTGGCCATGGAAGCATAAATTAGAAACAGTCCTTGAAAGAAAAAGTGTTAGAAAATGTTAAAAGCAAAAAAAAGAAAAAAAAAAAGATTCACTAAACCAATTAGGCATATTGACAGGGTTTCAGAAGGAATGTATTAAGTTTGAATAAACAAAGAAATTGGATGGTGAGTTGGGTAAAAATGTTTCAAACAGTAATACTCTTCCAGGAAAGGAAGTTTTATGAATGACAATCGCCACTAATAACAGAATTCACAGACAGTGCAGTTGTTGGCCAAAGCCCTGAAAGAAAAACCTTCACACGAGTAAGGACATGCAAAGAGAAGTGCATTTCCAACAAGTCCCTTTACATAGCTTCACACAACCAGTTCACACAATCTACATGTTGTCCCTGTGATTTTAAACTTTAATCTATTGTTGTCATTGTGTGAACAATTTGTTCAATGAACTTGTCTAATTGGAAAAGTCACTCCACCTGTCACCATCAAGTGGAGCAACCCAAAGTAACAAAAGTAGACAACAGAATTTTCTAATGGACACTACAAAAGAGATTCCCAATAGACTTTAATAGAAAGAATCTGGTTAAAAGGTAAAAACAATGATAAAAATTAAAAAAAGGAGTTTAACACTACATGTGTAGCACAATTTGTATAAAGTATGGAAAAGAATTCAAGATTGTATGATACTAGAAGGTAGTGTTGCAGAAGATTTGTCTCAGATGCAGAAAGCCAACTGCATCCCACATATTTACAAGTACCCTGTTCCATAAGAGAAAGATGATTCAAGAATATACTGATTATTTGACACTCAACCGATAATTGAATGGTAACAATAATATTAACAATATTAAATATAATAATGATAACAATAGGAACAGTTATGATAATTCATATCTGCTAGCTCAAAAAGCTCACTGTTCCTCTATCAGTCTATCCTCTAGGCTCAAATAATGATTAAACTATGCTCCTTTTGATTTTGCTTATTGATCAAAATTCATTTTCTCATTTCACCACAATTTGTCTTTGTTTAGCACAACAAGACATTCCCCATTGTAGGATATTCCACCATCTCACCCTTCCACTGGTCACATGTTAAACTCAAGGTATCTTATTTCACACCTCGCTCCCTTCTCAAATTTGGCAGCTCATTTGGTTATAAGTTGTTGATTGAAATGGTAAAATGCCCCCTCTTCAAATAAATAAAATTAGTCTTTAGAGCTTGTATGACAAACAGATCACCTATCTAGATATTTATGCAATGAAAAGTCTTGTTGTCAGTTACGTGCCAGAGACACCAGTGTAAAACTATTTTGAGAGATGTTATCATCTGTTGTAGTGTCACCGCAAGGACTAAAAAAAAAACTTTATTTTCCAATCTACCGGGCATAATTCCCTAATTCAAGCATTAAAAGGCTTATTCTTGAGACAAAAAAATTCCTCTATGTTCTCAATGACACTTTTTAAGATATTTTTATAAGGAAAAGCTTTGTTTTTTCAAGCACCATACTGAGATAAATTTATGTTTATCGTCTTCTTTTGTGCTCTGAAATAAACTATCATTAGCACCAGGAAACATCGGGTCAAATTTGGGTCAAGATACAAATTCCATTGTTACCATTAATCACTCACTGACTCATTTCAACGACATACATGGCTTCGCCTCCTATATTAGGTAATAGCCATAAAAATAGAAAAATTACTTTCTTTCATCAACACTCCTACATCAAATCCTCTCAATGAGTATAAACGTTTCCTAACTGTATAATTGCACCTGTCTTTAATCTTCAGGTTTTTGGTCTTTCACTTGAGGAAAAAATCCTGACTTTTCAGGGTTCAAAATAATTTTTCAGCTTTTAGCGTGAATTTGTAGGCTTTTATCAAGGCTCATGTTTTTTCCTGGCTGTTATTAGTAAATGAGCAGTCAACGTCTTCAACACTCAACATGATTTCTTAATAGTATAGAAAGGATTACCTTAAATTGCTTAAAATAATTTCAGCATCAGAATCTTTATTTGATCAACATGTTTTGTGGCGGCAATTCCTTTTCTAAGAAAATGTAGCGAACGGCTAAATTTTTCGGTGTTTGTTCAAGCGTGAAATATACAACTTCGTCGAGACAAACTGTCGCGCTTCTCCATGGGAAATCCGTACTGTCCAGTACCGACTTTAATTTGAACGCGTAAGAAGGCTTTGCAAACGACATTGAACAGGATTTGGCAGAAAATAAATCTTGATTAAAGGTAGTATGTAAGTGCAGAAACATAAACACGGTAATGTGAGGGTGTGCACCCAAACTTGCATGTTTCACGCTTGAAAAAATACGTAGAAAGCTGAAGACTGTAAACAAAAATACTCCCTGTAGCACGCTTCAAATTTCGAAACTTTATACTCGTTTACGTTTCCGAAAACCTTTTAAAACATTTCTTGGCTGCTTAATTGCCTAATATGAAATCTTTACCATAGCATGACGGCGACTTTTACTTCAGTTGGACGATCAGTAAGCGTAATATTTTGTTATGAAATTCTAGTTCTTCGGTGAAAAATCGCTGATAAGTGTCCTAAAAGTTGCGGCTGCCGCCGACAGCCGGCTGTTATTTTGAACCTTGTTTTCATCAAAATACATTCATCTGTTTTATTCCAAATTATCTGTTGCCTAAATAACTTATTAAGTGTACATTTCTTTAGTAAGGAAACTCTCTCATATGCTTTTGGGTGACAAAGGGACAGCCATCTCAAAAGGAGAAGGATTTGCTAACTATTCGTCCATCCAAACTTTCCATGGTGCATTCACGAAAAAAGATAGGTGTGTGCTCTTCACAGATCACTTGGTAGTACCTGGGAGGCACAGGTTTGAATGAAGTAAAAACCTACATTTTTTTGGCCTTCCTTTTCTGCAATTGCGTAAATTGCAGTTTACCTGTGAGCATCACTGCTGAAACATTGGTTTCATTGAGATATCCATTTGGTTCAAGATATGCTAAATGGCAGTGGAAACACTTAAACAGTTGAAAGTAAATTTAAAATGAAAACAAACTACTTCAGTTCTTTTAATTGATTGCGGCAACTCCATCGCATTTGAAAAAGAAACCCAGATGAATGAAACTCTTGAACCTGGGCCACTGAATACAACCAAGGTTCCTCAGGGTACTCTACCAGCATGTACTGCAAGCATAACTATGAAATTGTTAATGGTAGCAACACCATCGAACCATTTCATAACAACAAAAGAAAAACCTCTGCGATTTGTTTAGAAGACTGGAAAAATGTATTCAATTTTACTGAGTACCGGTAGATATGAATCAACAAGAGATAATAAATGAAGCCAGCTCCATTGCAAGCTTTCACACAGGATCACAGTCACCGAAACGAAAAATTAAGTGACAACTTTTTGATAAACAGACGATGAAACATGTACTTTCTACCTAAACCCAGACACGCACTCATAGTTAGTCTCCACACAAAACCTGTTTACTCTTGACTAATGCCTTATCTTGGTTAAGTAAAGTGAAGCCTCCTGACTTAATTCATAGCTCAGCTGTCAAAAAAATTCAACTTGAAAACTATGGCCCTCGAAATACAAAATAAGGCAGTTGGAAAATGAATTCCTTATTCAATATTAGACGCTTTTGGTGGGTAGTAACGCTAAGTAATTTTACGAGCGTTGTTGGCACAACTCGTAAAATTACTGAGTGTTACTTCACACCAAAACGTCTAATATTTAGGTATATACCCAGCCACTACTGCCCTCGTGGGCAATAAGCTAAATTTAACATTCTACTCATACCTTACAAGTTTATGTTTCCAAATTCGCCTCAAGACTACAAAGTCACCTCAATGCCGCCTCACCAACAGGTTCCTCTGTGTTGCTCATTTGAACAGGGAAGAAAGGACACTGGGAACGAGATTGAGCATTTGGACAAGGACCTTTCTTGCGCATTATACCTTAACGTCGATCTTTGCCCGTATCATTTTATTTTAAGAACAGTCTTAGTTTTCAAAATTCCCGCGAAATACTCTGTTCTCGCCATGTCCGCGAGAGTATCACAATCATTAGTTTGAGAGTCTTTACTGAATGAACGTTCCACGTCATCGCGATTCAATGAGAGAAAAATTTGTGACACTAATTTATTTTGTCATTGTTCAATGCCCGAGTGTTGGGATGACATGGTACAGTGCGAGTTGTGCGAGGAAAGGTTACACATGAGCTGCGAGGGATCTAAGACCATTTAAGACTGTCCCGGAGGGCGAGTGGCTCTGCATTGTCTGCAGATCGCTAGACTCTAGACGTCTTCGTAATTGTTAAGGTGTTATTTCGGATCCCTCAGCAATTAATAATCGTTAAAATTAGAAAATAAGATTGAGTTCGATGTAATAGTCTCCACTTTTGTTAAGACGTAGACATTAATGTTGATTTGCATCTGAAAATAAGCTGAGAGTTCCAATAGTTCAGAATAGAAACATTTTTACTTATCATAGGCTTTACGAACGACTTGTAGTAGGAGTAGTTTCTTCGTTCTTGTTCAGAAACTGTTTAATGTTATTATTTAAGAAAATCAGACTGAGTTATTTTTGTGAAAGGACGCAATAGTCTCCACTATTGTTATGAAGTTTCGTATCAATGTTGATTCGCATCAGAAGAGGCAAAGATTTATTGTCAAAATTTCAATAGTTCAAATGCAGTAGTTTGTTCACATCTAATTCAAATAGAATTAGTTAGCAAATATGATACAAAGGATGCTTAAATGGAAAGTCTGGTAGGAGGGTCCAAATCTGCGAAAGGGGGTCCATATCCGCTAGCCGGTCCAAATCCGCGGGGGGTCCAAATCCGCTGTGACACCGGCATTCCAGGAGAGAAATCGGGGCTTAAATACCCAAAGCCACTCCAATCTTTGCTTTCCATGAATCTAGTAAACCTTTTTAAAAGTTAAAATTCTCATTAAAATGTAATTCAGTCCATTTTAATAACTTTCGATTCTAATTCGTTACACTAACTAATTTTGGTTTCAGTTTGTAGAACCCGCGAAACAGGCCACATGGCAAAGGAGAAAAATTTGCTATATCACGCTGGGTTTGTTCAGTTGATTTTGATGGTCGCAAGGAAATGTCGAGTTTGTCGTTCAAAACCGTTGTGGTCCATAAGAGCGTAACATCATTTATGACGGAAAGAAATTTGCAGAAAGGAGGGCTAGTTCATCGGGTTCCGTATACTAAATCTCGGGAGAAACTGCAAAAACTATTTCAGAGTGTAAGCGTGTTGTTTTGTAAATATAAACACTGTTGAAGAAATATAAAATGGTTTCCGTGTTTACATAGCCTGATGTAAACACGCGGGAGGTTGGGAGAGCACGAGATAAGCGTAGGAAACCAAGACGCGAAGCGGAGTGGTTTCCAGCTTATCGAGTGTTCTCCCAACCTCCCAAGTGTTTACATCAGGCTATGTAAACACGGAAACCATTTTACATTTCTTTTATAAAATAACTAATGAAAGAGGAACGAAAACCGTGTTTACATACGCTCATGTAAAATGGTTTTATGGCCAATCAGAGCGCGCGTACTATTTGAATTATTTTATAAAACCTATTTTAACTTGTTTTTGTGTCCTTTTAAGCAACGCGATATGTCTGTTATGACCAGAGTGCCAAATTTTATTCTTTAATTTTGATCTTCTCCACACTGTGCGTAGTTCATGACCTGATATTTCAACATAAATTATCGAGAAGGCGCCTTGAGATCACCCTTGTCTACCTTGTAAGTCACGCAAGCGCGCAAGCGTTACGACCGATCACGTTTACGCAACGTTTTAGGACAACTCGGCATCTAATCTCCATTCAGTTGCTGTGAAAACCTAAAATCCTCAACGTAGAAGGTAAACGAACGAAGTTGGAACGGTCAAAAGGAGATCTTGGTCAATTCTAAGAATCATGCAAATGATCTTTGACATGAGCGCAATTGAGCAAACACATGGATTTGCGTTGTTTTTAAGAAGTTGGTGGATGGAAGCTACAGATATACCCGCGGGTATGAGGCAATCCGTGACCTCATTGGTGTATAAACTACGCACTGATATGCTTTTTCAGCCCGATTAACGCCTGCGTTTTGAGAATTCTATCGTACGAAGTAGTGAATTTTTGATATGCAAATTAAGGTCGTAGAGAAGGGTCTCCTCTGATCACGCTGGTATGAAAAATACTTCAGCCGAAGTTTCCATATTTCGTCTGTGAACTAACTGAACACATCTTGGAACTTCTAGCAAGATAGAATTCCGTGAGCTACATTGTTGCAGTCGGTGCGCGCTGGACAAAATCTTTAAAATTTACAATTTCGATCGCTGTCCATAGGGGTGGTCTGGCCAAATATCATTTTTGACTTGTGGCAACGCAAAAAAAGAGAATTGTAGAACAACTAAATTATTTTTGAAACGTGCGTCCTAAACCCTTTTCATGGGCAAAAAATAAAAGAAAACTTTCTTTCGACGGGAAGTCGAGAGGACCGCTCTTAGCGAGAGCGGCACTTAAACAGTTACATGTAGCGACATTTTTTCTTCTCGAAGTACCACACAAGTATGCAAAGTTATGAAGAAGTTTCAGAGCCTTCTATTAAATTTTTCTCCCAATCTACTGATAACATAGTGTCCTTCACAGCTTTCATTTGAGCTCGTCACAAGGAAAGCACATTTACTACAACCATGAATTAGAATATGATTTTTATTTGTCCTCACTCCTCCAATTATCAAAAACAATACGTAGAACAACCAACAATCAGTCTCACTTAAATTAATTTTCCTCAGCAATCATTTTCAATCCTTTAACCTTTAACCCCTAAAGGTGAGTAGCAAGTACTTCCTCCTGCAATATCAAGGTAAAGATGCCAATAAAAAAAAATTTGTCCATTAAGTTTGCATTTTCAGTAACAAAAGAAATGTAAATTCAGGTCATTTTTTCACCATCCAAAGATTATTTTAATGAAGATAATTATTCCCAATATTAATGTCTACAATATTCTTTTGGGCCAAAATTAAACTTGTCTTTAAACAAACACGTCAAAGAGCTCTCCAGTCAAATCATTCCTCAAGCTGGCCGCTTATTATTAATTTGAAAGAAAACGGCTGAAACTTGTAGCCTGTTCCTTGATAAAACTTGCTCTGGAACTCGACCCTACAAAGACAAAAAAAAAAACAAATCAATACTGGGACTTGAATTATTTACAAAAATGCTTTTAAAAAGTCATGCTAACAATTAGCTCACATTCTTCTGTTAACCATCACACTGACTTATTTAGTACAGGAAATCAAGTTAGAGTACAAAAGTACACACTACAGTAGGTTTTGTGTTGGACATGTATTAATCTGAGTTGGTTGCTGAGCAATGAAATTTAACAACCTAATAATTTAGGGCTGTTAAATAACAAGTGCAAATTAGTTGAGAACTTTCAAATGGATTTTGGTTGAACCCATCACAGTGCTAGTGGGGCACTGTGATGGAGCCACTTAACCCTTTACACCCTAACATCAGAATGCATATTCTCCATACTGTTCTCTATACATTTCTTAAGGTTCTGATGAGGAGAATTTGTCTAACAGTCATGAGTTCTTTAGTCGTTGATCATGTCCCTTATTCTCATGACCTTTGTGTTTGATTCAGGGGTGACATTTTAAGGAGAAATTAGATGCTAGTCATTCTTAGGGGTTTAAGGGTCAACTTCAGTATACCCATTATACAAGATTACTGGGCATAGTAAGCCTAAGGTACCACACTCATTTTCAAATTCAACTTATAACAATGTTTGGGATTGATTGACAAGATCTGGGCCAACAGACATGATGAAAGTTTTGCTTGCCTTGAAATTTAAAAACTTACCAGTGGAGACGTAGAGCGTGTAAGAAGGCTGATAACCCCTCCATAATCAAAAGAATGGCAACAGTGAGTACTGGAGGCAAAAAAATTCAGATAACATCAGAAACTTCAACTAACACATACTCAGGGTTGTAGTCTGCTGGTAAAGATTAAACTAAGTCAGCATAATTAGAGATCAAGCAAAACATTTTGTTCCATTCTTCCCAACCCCCTCAAAGCAATGTAAAGATGGAAATGCAAGACAGAAAAAGAGGGCATGACAAAAAAATTGCTCAAACAACCACTGCGAACACTCACCTGCCCAAAACGAAAACAAAGCAAAGGAAGCAACCACTCCAAGTCCTCCCTTAAATGACAGAGCCAAATGCAACACCATGCTCCATAACACTTCAGACAGCTCTAAAGAGACAGAGGTACAGTAAGTAAACTATTTTAAAACATCAGCAGTTGGTATGGTTTAAGCATTAGCTTCTCAAGATGGGGAGGTTTTGGACATCAAAAGTGAAATTATTCAAATCATAATTACCACGAGAGAACTAAATTATGTGCATAAGACATGGTGTAAGGTACTTTAGAAATACTACTGTGTTCAAGATTTTATGTTTGAGCAAACAGGTCTCCACTCTATCATCTTTCTTGAAACTTGACAGATTTGAACGGAAGCCTAATGCAATAACTTACCTGCATGTGCCAAACTAAGGGCCCACAGTCGCAAGTAAGAGGCTGTATTTGAGATACAACCCAGGCAGTATTCAATGGTATGAATGGCCTGATGTACAAATACTTCCCCAAAATCAAACTAAATGGAAAACAAAGATGAAAAAGACAGACTAAGAATTATTATTATTATTAAAAAGAGAAGTTATTCCAGGTACTATTTTGATTGGTTGGCTCAAAGTTCAACAGCACACCATTAGTATAATCAGACACATGGTTACGTGGAAACCTTGACAAATCCTCTTGCTCATGCAACCTTTTACACATTTCAGCATTTCAGTGTTTCAAACCAGTAGGAGTAGACCCCAAAGGAAACTAACAACAGCCTTACCTCCTCATGAACATCATCATGAGGTTCACCCTGTCCCTGGCCTCCATGATGGACTATTTCAGAGTCCCCTTCTGTCCCTTGAATCTGTACTGTCGATGAGGCAGGGCTGCTGGACCTCAGCCTCTGGAAACCCTAAGAGCACATTTGTGTTAAGACTATAAGGCTCTTTAACATCAGAATCCCATTATAATTTTTATACTCACTGGTGAACCATACTTGTAGATGGCAACTGCATCTAATTAATGTCTCGGTTCAGTAAGAGATCAAAGAACACATTGAAATATGATAAGAGAAAAAAATTGGCATGCGGAGCAGAGGTGATTGTGTCATTGATGATCTATCACTGAAAAGACCCAGAGCAACATGGAACCTATTTGTTTTTCATGGTAACAGAGCAAAATCTTGTTGAAGGTAATGTCATCTATACATCTTTCCTCTAAAAATTTAGTAGTAAGAACCATACAAAATGCATGTGATTGACAAATCAGACTCCTGCTTTGCAATCATCCAATTTTGTTTATCATGCATATGATTGCAGAGTGAATTGGACTCCACTTGGTCCTATTACCATTATAAACTGGAATAAATGAGGTACTTTAAACTAACTTAAATAAAGCAACACCTAATGTCAAACATTAGTATAAAACAAAGCTGACAAAGGGCAATTGATCCAGTTTTTTTTGTGCTTGTATGTGGAATTACGTGCAACCCACAAAATCTTAGACTTACTTGTGCTTCAGCAACTTTGTGCTGATGTCGAAGATAAAAAGGCTTGACCAAGAGCATCCAAGGTACACACAATACAGCTATGATAACTAGTATAGGCTGGATAACATCCTGTAGTGAAAACAAAGAACAATGAGATAAGAATACAGAACAAATACAAATTAAATTAGACACAGTTAGTGATACTTTGCTTTTTCAGTGTTGAAGGAACTAAGAAATATTCCCATTTTTGTGGTAGTTCTTTAGTTATGTGGTCAGGATTCCACCCACCTTACTAAGTAATTCAGAAAATTTTCCTTTCTTCTTTGTAGGGATGGGCAAAGCTCAAATACCAAGAGGCAGAAATACCTAATGCCCAAAAGCATAATGGTAACAGCTGTATGAAATAAAGATACTATCCCAGAGGCAGCCAAAAATGTTTGATTGTAGAAGGTGCCAATCCAGCACAAGTTAGTACAGGGCCAGGTTGTTCAAAGCTGGGTTAAGATAACCCAGGATTAGTGTGAAATCTGATTTCATATCTGAAAGCTTTTTTTAAAGAAAAGTCAGCATAATTATTTTTGTCTACAATTTGATGATTGGATGCTCTGAGAAAAAAAAAATTTTTTTCTGAAAAGCCTTTTGAACAAAGAGTTAGTTTGTTAGTTAGTTTTGAGTTAGGGCTAATCAGCCTTCATACAACCTAGATTTATGCCAGGAAAAGTAGCCAAAAAATTCTGGAAATTAGGTAGAAATTCTCCAATATTCCATGCCCTACAAACACACTGTCCCTAGATCACAAAGCATGGTTGAGAAAAATGATCCCTTGCCCTGTTTGGCTTCATCTCATACAGAGATAGATGGTTTAACAGGAATCCTGCAAACTACCTGTCCTGGGAAGAGAAGCTCAGAACTGTGGATAGATCCTCCAAATTTAAGAAACATGTTGATGAGTGCCAACAGCAAACTTGGATACTACAAGAAATGTAAAAAACAAATGATCAAAAATAATTTTTTAGCCATAATCAATCCCTTATTTAGATTGTTTAAAATGGATTCAAATGTAACTGATATCAATGTCCTGTTTAAAAACTGAGTTACAATGCTACTTCAGCCTAATTTGCATCTGTAGAAGAGCATGGCTAACTCTAAATTTATGCTAATTCAAAGTTAAAACTATTTAACTCAAAGTATATTCAGTCACTTACAATCAGCAAACTTAAACTTAATTTCCTTTGATGAGGTATGAAAATTTTCAAACAGATAGAGCAATCCTTTCACATGCTGAATTTTGAAGATATCCAAGCAATTTTAGGCAGTATTAAAAGGTACTTTGGGTGCTAAAATTTACTCATTACTGCCTGAAAAGGAGAACATTGCACTGAAAGTTTCTCCACAAAATTACATGCTCTTCATTCCTTATAAACACCTCTTAACCCTTCATTCAAATCATTCAGAGGCTGGAAATCCTAACACATGCATGTGTTTATCAAAAATTCTTTCCAGACAGAGGTAAAAACTAAGGCAAACAGTAGATCACCTCTGAACACTCCTGAATTAAGTTCACTGATTTGGCTATGAGAGTTTTACAAAACTTACACCCTTCGAAGTAACACTGATGGCAATCCACTTGTAGAAGATCAAAATGACCAGGTAACCAAAGATGCAAAACAAAAACAGAACCTGGAAAAAGAAAATGGATATCATGGAAAAAATTACAAGGAAATTATGTGTATCACAAAAAAGGGTAACTTAATTAAATCAAGTTTCATTAAATATAAAAATGTGGTCAAAAGAAAAATAAAAAGTACCACAAGGAAACCATGAGAAATTCCCATTAGAAATTCAACTTACAACAAACAAATTGCCTAAAACATCAGAAAATGCAAGCTCCCTGGTCCCTATTTTTCAGTTCCATGTACCATACAATTATTATTTTTGTTCTGTCAATTTGGTATTGGATCAACTAATAATCCTCTTATTGATAATTCTCCCTATTCTCACCACTTTTCTGCTTGATATTGTACCGAAATTGTTAGGAGACATTACTTCTTGATCACTCATAAGAGTTAAGGGTTAAGTTTTTGACATGTAACACTATCAAAGGAACAAAATGTTGACTTACATGTCTTGAACAATGGTAATTTTATTTGTCAAAAAAACAAAAAAAACCTAAGGTAAGCTAAGGTAATTTATAAGCATTGTGGAATGATAATGTCTTGTGTATTAACAGAAAACGTGCTAGAAACTACTTTTCTGGAAACAAAAAGGAGTGAATCTTAGTAATATGTTATTCACACAGAACAAACTACCTGTGGTATAAACTCTGTGAAGATATTCAGAGGTTTATTGAAGTGCCTGCAGAAACAAATAAGACAACGTTAGCCAAAAGTCAAGAAATGTAAAGTGTTACACCACACCTGAGTTCTACAACTGTACTTTGTGTTTAACAACTTAACCCTTTGCATCCTAACATCAGTATGCATATTCTCCATACTGTTCTCTATACATTTCCTGAGAATTTGACAGGCAGAATTTGTTTAACAATCCAGACCTTCTTCAGTTGGTGATCATTTCCTTTATTCTCATGACCTAAATGTGTGACTCAGAGGTGATATTGTAAGGAGAAATTGCATGCTAATCACCCTTAAGGTTTAAAGGGTTAAGGTCGATAAGGTCAATGTCTACCTATGATTGAAGAAACTCAGACAAACACCAAACATCATATGTGTCACACCAAACACAATGGACAGCTTCATTTTGAATGAATTGGTGAAAGTCAGTTTGTTGGTAGCTATTTGCCAGATCTGAAAATTAAATAAAGGAAATCAAATTAAAAAATTAAATAAACAAATAAATAAATGGATTTTAAATTTGCAGTTCACACAATTTTTATGTATTTTAATGTACAGTCAATCCTGTATTGGGTGATCATCCATGGGGAATGACAAGATGACCGCTTAACACAAGTTGAGTGCTTAATACAGGTTCCAAAAATCAGGGTAACATAGAAAAAGATAAAAAAAAAAAACAAAAAACCATTATATGCAATAATTGAGCACTTATAATACAAAACTTGCTCAAAAATACTACTAACATTGATTAAGGGAGAGAGATAAGGATAATATTATATTTGGAAGATTTTTCTAAGTTTTATTCAAACAGTCCTACTTAAATACAGGTGGAAGACAATACAAACAGGTTGTTGGGACTCACTCAAAGGTGACCATGACTGTTTAACCCTTAAACTCCCATGGGTAACCAAGACAGAATTTTTCCTTACAATATCAATACAATATCAACCAGATAATGATAAGAAGAAAAATATCAATTTGAGGATAATAATTGATTCAATTCTAAATTCTCTGAACCAACCCTATAAGAATTTATGGTGGACAGTGAGGAGAATTACAAATTTGATCTGAGAGTTAAAGGGTTTCTAGAAGTGACTGCTTAATATAGGTGAAAATTAAGGAGATTAAGCCATAACATTTCCAGATTTTGATAACCAACCACTTAATACAGGTTAACCACTTAATACAGTGCCCCTTAACCCTTTACCTCCCAAGATCTGATTGTTAATTCTCCCCTGTAGCTGCTACACATTTCCTTGTAAATTAGTTATGAGAACTTGGTGCTAGATCAAGAGAGCAGCTTCTACCTGATAAGTTTGAATATTCTCATTACTTATTTGCTGAAGAATGTATGGATATTGTTGGGAGAAGTTTTATGTTAATCACTTGTGGGAGTTAAAGGGTTAAGACAGGTTCAACTTTTTGTACAGTTTGTCTTCATTACATAAACAGTCACAACTGCCATGGACAGTTGCAGGTGTTACATTATGAAGTGATATAAATCCAATTTTTCTCTTCCTGTTCCCCTCCCTCTATCAAGCAATGTTGAATTTACTGCAGGATATCAAGTTACATGTTGCACAAACACCCTGACCATGCACCTTGGTATGGAGTGAGCAATGTAACTCACATTTATTTATTTTAATCCATAATATGAAGATTCTCCATGCTTAACACTCAAGTGACCGAGGCAAAAGAGGCAAATTGTGTCCAGAGAAAACATTTTGAGGGTTTCTTAGAACTGTCTAAAGTATTTTTGATAACCAAAGGACCCAAAATAACGTGTGTATAAATTTCCTTGATCAGCTTGTTAAAGTTTGTGGTAATTTTCCCTAGTTTCATTCTCATACATGTTCATGTAGACAAACACTAGAGAGTGGAAGAATTGGATAGAATAAAAAAAAAAAAAAACCAGCATAAACAACACATGACTGGAATACTTACTGGGTCAATACCAAAGTAGTATGGTATCCCACGGTATGTCTGCTGTGGCTCAACCATAATATCTTGGTTCTCTGCATAAGAGTCCAATGCCTTTTTGCTAAAGAAACATTCAGCAATCAGACATGTAAAGAAATCACAAGGTATAATAAAAAAAACCTAAAATAAAATATATAACTGCAAGAAGGGACAATTAATAGTTCAATCTTGCATGAGTTGTATTCTGAGGGTAAATAAAAACATTCTGTACATACTTGATTGGACCATAATCTACACTAAGATCCCAGGCTGTGCCAAAGATGTTAAAGGACTTGGAAAAGCAGTCGTTATAAATAAGACCAGTGTAGACTGCAAACAATCCCATCAGCATGATGATGTAGCGTCCCTCGAAAACTGTATCAAACATCTGAGGACAGAAACAACATCAATTTATGAGAGGAAATTCTAGATCTGTCAACTTACTTGGTACTGCATTTCTCAGGAAATGTTTAAAAGCACCAAGTTGATATCTTTCTAATGCTTGAAAGCACAAAAAATGATAAGAACTTCCACAGCTGAAAAACTCCTTTGATATCCTGAGATGCTCCTTTGTAGAATTTGGTATTGGATCTTCTAATACTCTCCATATTGACATTTTCCTTTGAACTCATCACTTGTTTGTTTGACACTGTATTGATAACGTAAGGAGAAAGTTTTTTCCTTGTTGCTCATAAGAGTTCAAGGGTTAAGTTAAACTCATATCAGCCCTAGAGCTGGGCAGTCTATGCAGCCAGACCTTATTCTAGTTTCTCTGGCAGAAGCCAAAAATGAATGCTGCTGTTCTTCCTGAATGAGATACTAGTTCATCCAAAGTTACCCCCCTACCCTCCCCCCACCCCTCCATTTTATCTGGCTTTCCTGAAAATTCTCTGGGATCCATTTAAACTCCTTGGTGGGAAGAAACACTGTGAGAGTAAGAGGTCTGGACCAAACACACAATACAATGACCTGGCCAAATCTTCAATAAGGACCATTTGATCCAAAGTCCAGTACCCTACCTGTTACACCACAATATCTGTTTAATAACACATCACACCAGAAAATTCTAAAATGTTTTCTTTAACTGAAATTAAGTCTACCTCTCCTCCTTCTTTATAGCCTGCCAGTTTCCTTTCATTCACAACCAACCACAGGGCAAACAGAAACATGATCAAACCATGACCACAGTCTCCAAACATGACCGCAAACAAGAATGGAAATGTGATGACTGTAAACAAGGCTGGAAAGAAAAAATTAAAATACATCTTAATGCTAGAACTACCTCTCTAAATGGAAATTACATGACCACATATACACCACAATAAAAAGGAATATTGATCTCTAAGTTAAAATTTTTTTAAGTAAAGTACCTGGATTTACTTCCTGATAGTTTGCTACTCCATAGGCATCTACAATGGCTTGAAACCCCTGGGTAAACTTGTTAGTCCTGTTGAAAGTTGGAGGCTCCTGACGAGTGGTCATGCGATTCAGAATAGATGGTATAGCAGCACCACTGCGCTCTGTGCCTCGCCGCAGTGCTTGCTGAATTCTATCCAAGTCACTAACTGGACACCAACACTCAGCAATAAGACATTTCTGAGTAACATCCAGGTTGAACATGTTCATGGTGTGATAAATGGCCTTGATCTTTTTGACCTAGCAATGTGAAATCAAATCATAGAATAATAGTGTAAATATCTTACAAAACTTTTGGTTCTCATAATACCTACTTTACTGCTAAACAAATTCTCCTTATCAGTGCATTAGGAAATGTGTGAAGAACAGTACAGAGAATATGCATACCGATGTTAGGGTTTGAAATCCTATGCAATTATAACTTTAATTACCTTAATAAACCACTGATTTATATTCTTTTCCACAGTCATCAACAATCGATGGCGATGGTCACGTGTTTCATTCAATACCTTGATAAAATGTGAAGAAAAACATAAGAAAGTTACCTCAAATCAAAGTTAACTTAACCCTAACATCAATAAATTGTCCCTTGATTGAGTTTCAGTAATTACAAACACAGCTAGTATTTGTTACTCACTGTTTGAAGATCTTCAATTCTTGTGGTTACTCCAATGGCCATTTCTCGCCTCTCTGCTGCGGTATCTGGGCAAGGATACAACGTAGCACGGAATCTAAAAGGAAAAAGCCAAAATTTTTGGGTCATCATTTATCTCATATTATAAATTTAAAGACTTTAACCAAACCAATGGCCAAGTTAATCCATTTTGTGGATGAAAATCACCAAAGAAGCTCTAAATTCCACAGTATGACATAATAAACCCAGGATTAAGGCTCATAAGGACTCCAACAACAGTGTTTGAGAGTACAATAAAGTAAGCATATGCATCTATAATACTACAGGAAAGATTACACAGTATAAGCAAATAATAAAAGACTTTCTCACCCCTCACAAATCTTCTTCACCCTGCTTTTGAGCTGATCTCCTTGAAAGAATATAATAAAGACACATTTGTTGACTTGGTCTCCAGTGCTTGGATCTTCCAGAGGAGTCTCTATTTCTGCCTGTTTGAAGAAAACGTTTCCACGACAGGCACGCCACAGAAGACGCTCAAAGGAAGGTACTCGCTCTCTTGCTATAACACCAGTCACAAAACTAGACAAGTGATAGATCAAATGTGCAACAATGTAGGTCATGAGCAAAAATGATAGAGACACAGTTAAAGGTAACTGCTGAGACAAAATTATACATCTTCAATTCCCTTACATCTAACATGAACATGTTAACTTCTCACCTTTAAGACTGACTATAATACACATTGATTCTGATGGAATAATCTTCATGGAGTCATTTTTGCAATGTGGGCAGCATGGAGGGACAACCTTGCAAGGCACAAAATGGCCTTTAAAAATATAAGTCAAGAATTGTATATTTATTTTGAAGGTTAAAATAAAACTCAGGTCAAAATGATTTTAAACTAGTTTGATTTGTTTTTTTTTTCTTTTTGAACCAGAACAAGTACGATAAATTTCATAAACAATGAAAATACATTTCAAACTAAATAAGATGACGTGACCTCAAAAAAGCTAGAGTTGCTCTTACACATTTTTCATGCTCTCCAAACTTTTCGCATGCATCGATAACTCAATATATGCACACTAAGCATGAACAAATTCTTAACTACTAACAGTGATTTCAATATTTCTCATAAGAAATTCAGTCATTTTAATCAAGTCAAGTATACATTATGGTACACTGTACTTACTTAATGGAAACAGTTTACCCTGAGAGTCTATCGCTTCAGTAGGTAGTAATGACTGAAAGAATTCTCCATTCCAAAACTCCTGATCATGCATGGGATGGCTGTTGTGAATATTCATGTCACACTTTGAACAGACAAAAAAGCAAGGTCCACAATCCATACATCGAACACACTGCTGAAGGTCAGAATTGCACATAGAGCACTTTACTGATGGTGGTAAAGCTTCTTTGGACAAAGCATCACTAAACAAAGTTTCTCTGAAGCCTTCCCAGTTTGTCTCTAGGCGTGTCTGCCTAGTTTGCCAGGTTATCCTTTTCAGTTTGGCATCTTGTCTGACAATATCTTCAGCCATTCTAAAGGCCTCTGATAAAAGATTTTCTATCATAAAAGAGAAACAATTATTATCCTTGTAAATGGTTCATTTGGTTTCCTTGTTCTGTTCTCAAATATTATATACTTTTTACATTTTTCTAACAACATAGTTTAATAAGAACATGTAAATAAGTACATGTATAGCTAATCTTGATCCTATTGACTGTTTTATCGGTGGACATGTATGCAACTTTACTTTATATTTTGAAAGTGGTTAGTGCATTGCCTAAAACCAGCTCGTAACGACCTAATAAAGATGATAATAACGACAACAGTGCTATTTTCACTGCTTAAATATCCTCCTGGAGAGTATGATGACAGCACATGATACAGCCAATCAAGAAACTTTGGCTAATAAATAAAAATGTCAATTTTTACAACACTTAATATTTGGTACTGTAAAGCACATAATTTTACAAAATCTATAACTTTCTTTTTAAGTCATTATTACTTAGGCTTGTAGCCTGTTTTCATCATGATATCACAGAGCAAATACAACTACAAAAAATTAAACTCAGAAACAAAAAGTAACACACTGTTGAATCTTGCAGGTCTGCTATCATTTACCTTAGTAATCATAGTTTACTACATGTTACTTGATTGGCTGACACTATGGATGTGTCCAAAGTACAATTATAGAAAACAACTGAAAAATTGAAATGATCTCGTAATTACATGTATGCACCTGAGCTTAATTCTAGAGATGAAAAGATCAAAAGCTATATAACGTAATAATACTAATTGAGCAAGCTCTATATGACATTAGGTATCCTTGTAAACCCACAGAGCAAGAAATTATAACCCTCTGATATGATCTGGTGTTTTTATGACTTCTTTTTGGTTGGGGAATTCCACAAATCAATAACATTGAGGAAGTGGGTTGTGCAAAAGTTAAATATGCACTTCTGATTTTAATTTAAGCTTAATTTGCAAGTTAAATTTAATCATTACTGCTTTCAAAGGGGAAGTAAATGAAATCAGTGGAAATACAAATTCTTGAACTTACCATTATCTTCAATGTGCTTAGAAGGAACATCACAGATATTTGAATCATCATGATCTGCTAATAAGCTTTCGTCCACGTTATCACTTGCCGGGTTTTGTATAGACACTACACAATTAATAAGGGAACAAACGAGCTTTAGAAATCTGAAGACAGTAACTTTATGAGGCAAAAAATGCTTAAAATACTTAACCATTTGTAATAACAACAATTCAGGGCTTTGAATTCGTAAATCATCAAAATCTACTCACCTCCAGTTGATGTACTCTGCACTGAGGAGCTTGATCGGGAAGGTCTCCTAGGAGCTTTAACAATTCTCTCACCGGAGGAATTATACGTGATGTCAGTAACATGACGTTTCCTCACCTTTTTGTCCCCTTTCAACTTATTTTGAAGACTGGAAATAGCTCTTTCTGCTTCTTCCGCGATTTCCTTCAACTTTCTCTCACGACGGGAATCCGCCATTTTCAGAGGATTCCTTCTCGAAGGATTTGCTACCAGTCCTTTTGGCGCGTGCTTACCCATTAAATGTAGACTGTACACATTTACTACGCTTACTTCGCATCTATTGTAGACCTTATACATTCTTTTGCAGGAGATTGGGTTGCCATATCCGCTAGCGGATTTGGACCGCGGGGGGTCCAAATCCGCTGTGACACCGGCATTCCAGGAGAGAAATCAGGGCTTAAATACCCAAAGCCACTCCAATCTTTGCTTTCGAGTTTGATGTCGAGTTTGTCGCTGAAAACCGTTGTGGTCCATAAGAGCGTAACATCATTAGTGATGGAAACAAATCTGCGGAAAGAAGGGTTTGTTCATCGGGTTCCGTATACTAAATCTCGGGAGAAACTGCAAGAATTATTTTAGAGTGTATACGTGTTGTTTTGTAAATATAAACACTGTAACCTATTTAAACTTGTTTTTGTGTCCTTTTAAGCAACGCCATATGTCTGTTATGACCAGAGCGCCAAATTTTATTCTTTCATTTTGATCTTCTCCACACTGTGCATAGTTCATGACCTGATATTTGAACGTAAATTATCGAGAAGGCGCCTTCCGATCACCTTTGTCTACTTTGTAAGTCACGCAAGCGCGCAAGCGTTACGACCGATCGCGTTTACGCAACGTTTTAGGACAACTCGGCATCTAATCTCCATTCAGTTGCTGTGAAAACCTAAAATCTTCAACGTAGAAGATAAACGAACGAAGTTTGAACTGTCTAAAGGAGATCTTGGTCAATTCTAAGAATCATGCAAATGATCTTTGAGACGAGCGCAATTGAGCAAACACATGGATTTGCGTTGTTTTTAAGAAGTTGGTGGATGGAAGCTAGAGATATACCCGCGGGTTTGAGGCAATCCGTGACCTCATTGGTGTATAAACTATGCACTGATATGCTTTTTCAGCCCGATTAACGCCTGCATTTTGAGAATTCTTTCGTACAAAGTAGTGAATTTTGGATATGCAAATCAAGGTTGGAGAGAAGGGTCTCCTCTGATCACGCTGGTATGAAATATATTTCAGCTGAAGTTTCCATATTTTGTCGGTGAACTAACTGAATACACCTTGTAACTTGTAGCAAGACAGAATTCCATGAGCTACATTGTTGCAGTCGCTGCACGCTGGACAAAATCAAGTATTTTTATTGCAATATATGCATATCCAGCGCACGCTGTAAATGTACCATTTATATTTTCACATATAAAAGTATCAAGGTCGTCATTAGAACCGTATTTATCAACATGACAGTTTTACTTTCCATGCAGCCGATCAAAGCACAGGTTTTCTTGCTCGCTCGCGGGTCCTACCAAAATGTCTAAATAGCAGAGAAATTGGGAAAACCTGTCAACAAAAGTTAAAAATTCAACACCAGAATCACGATGACTACGATTTCTTGATCACGTATAAAAGGGAACCTCGTCAACGACACGATTGATTAATAACCTAAGCAGGTAGTGGTTTAACGACTCTTACATCAGCAAAATAAAAAATAAAAAGTAGGACGTTTATGTCATTGTGCTATACTCCGGATTAAAGAAAATGAAAACCTAAAAGATTTTGTATGAGGCCCAGTCTCAACTTGGCGTATAAATAGTGAAACAGCATAGCTTCAAAATAGAATCAGAGATCACGAAATAAACAATGACACAACATTTTCTGTTTCGAGCTCGATGAGCTCATATTCAGCTTCTTCAATACTGCTGGTGTTACCAAAAGTACCGTTTTGTTACACACTTGTGGGGCAAATCACATTTTCACAGGAGTTAAGGTGAGGACAGAATAAGTCAATAAGGACCCATTGCAGTGAATGAGATAAACGGGTATTGACTATAGATACAAATAGAAATAATTTGAGACTTGAGACAAAAGAATGAAAGAAATATCGATCTTATTTACTCGTCACGAACGCAGGATCGAATCTTAGACCATCGGATTTTACGATCTGAAGTTCTCACATATAGCTATAGATTTCTTGTTAACGAGCCATGACATACAGTGGATAAATAAAGGATCATCCTGCATACTGCTTAGATCATCGATGTCGAAAGTTTCATGTCTTTAGATACATAATGATAGAAAGGAAATTTCAAGCTCTTTCGTGACAAGGAAAAAAATCATTTTTAACCGACGACCGAAAAAAAAAACCCTATCCGTCAGATCAGGTTAAACGACAGGTTAAATAACAATGCTGACATTTAGATAAACATACCAGACCTTGAGGTAGCTTATTTATCTTCCCATGAGGGATTTACGAAGCTGCGGCATTTCTGATTCCAGTATCAAGTGCGTCACTTGTCTGTATGAACTATTATACATTTATTTATGGTCTCGCTTACTGCACCCAAACTCAGCAGACAATTCTGGAGCTCAAAGAGACAAAGAGCTAAGGTCTTAGATTTCTCCTCCAACTTTAAGACAACTGTTTCAGTAACAGTTTATTCATAAAATTCCTGCAAGATACCCTGAGGGTTTCTGTACACAAAGATGCATGGAGTACATAGATTTAACAAATTTTGAATATCTTTCTCGGTTATTTCTCTAAGAAGAGTACTTATGGTATTCGCTTTAATTCTTTCCAAGACGCGAAACGATTTAAATATGCTTTTCTCTAGATACAACGAGAAGTCAAGTATTTTTCTTGGAAAAGAGCTTAATTGGAGTTAAATTTATTGCAAGTATTCTTGAGGTGAGGAAAGCTAATGAAGAAATACGTAGCATATTATAATCGAAAGACGAGAAAAAAAAGTATACATAAAGAATACATCTTATTGATGTGATTTCTTTAGCTTTGTATCTCCCTCTAATGATTTCGCTGGATTATAACAAGTAATAATCATAAAAAGAATTGAAAAAACAAACAAACAAAAAAACAAGCACAATAATTTTCTTAAAGAACAACAGCAATTTTGATCACGAAACTGGGCATTAGAGGAGGTTAAATCTTTCAAATTCATGAATATGTTACCTTCATTTTTTCATCGAAATTGTTGTAAAGCAAAATATTATTTTTCTGATATTTTCAGGCATGTAGAATTGACAAATGATATCATTTGGAGAATAGAGGGATTCAGAGGATGACAGTTTAACAGGTACAAATCAATCTTCATTCTGCAACTGATTAGAGCTGTTTAGAGCTCATTTTATCTATAAATAAAGGTCGTAATCTTAATTTTCGTGCAGCTAACAACAGTTAAGTTTAATTTCAGTCGAATTTAAATTTTACACATGCACTTTGTAGAGGAAAAGGTTCGATAAACGAGTTTCTTTACGCAATAGGTTCGCGGGGTGTTGGTAGAATTCGTGACGGTAACGCAAACCCTCGTAGCTGTTTCGGTTTCGAATAGGTCTCGCGAATTCTCCCAGCCCCACACGCGATAAAATGAAGGAATGAGTGAAGAGTCTTTTATTGCATTATTTTTGATCGATGCTTATCCATGCCTACCAGGTACAACTAGGTTGTTTATTGCAACTCACGCATTTTGTTAAGGGACAGCCTTGAACGACGTTTCAACAGATGAGACTACGAAAACAAACAAACAAACAATTGAAAAAACAAATATGACACAACCCGCGGAACTTGACTTGGGCTGTCACGCAACCACAATAGCGTGACGGAGGAAGCTTTGAGATTCTCATTCTTTCTCTATGATTAAGTATACAACGTTTTCTTTAGGTTACTTTCATCTGAGTCTCCTCTTTTTGATTTTTAACAATGTAGCGCAGTACAATCGATTCAATTTTATTTCTAGCTATGGCAGAAAGCAACCTCCCAACAACGGGAGAAGAACTGGAGGTGAAAAAAGAGTTTTCAGCTACAGGTGAGAAAAAGCAACAGGGAGGGACTTCGTCATGGTGATTTTGTACTGTTTGGTAATTAAGTATGCTTTAATTCTGGTGCTCAATTTTTTGGACCACTTCGACTTGAATGTTTTGAGGAATCCACTAAATACGCCAGTATTAGAACGCTTGTTGTAATTGCACACGGTTGTGATCACTAACAAAGTTGAAATATCTTCTCGGTAATTTCAGCGACAGAGAAAAGTCAAGTTACGTCAAGTGACGCTGAACTGGATGTAGACAATGACCCTTTAAGAGGTAAGAACACTGGGTGAAACAAGATTTTTGAAAGACGCCCCGGTGAAGTTTTTCGTCACATTTACATCAAAATTTCTGTGGATAAGTTTTTGAAACAGAAAAAGATTTTTTTTTTAATTTTAAACTTTATTGCCATAAATATTAAATAAACAAAGGGAAAAACAATTTATTGCTCGATCCGATCGAGCAGAATGCGTAGACATCATTAATTTTTTCATTAGCAATAAAGCGGAAAATTTGAACGCGACTACGCTTTGAAGAGCCCTAAATTAACGAAGAATGAGCCAAAATTGGCCTATAAAGCTTCGTAAAACTCAGATTTCTGAGTTTTTAGCAGTGCTTATCTATAAATCAACACACAATGTTTTGGAGATTAAAGATGTGTCTACAATTTGCACCTAAAATGAACGATATTTGTGCAGTAAAAAGTATTTTCCTTTTGCGCTTGAAAAAATATTGTAAATTTGGTCATTTATAGTAGGAAAGTCATTTTCGGTAAGAGAGAGCTGTTGGTACCCGTAACCTGTCAAGGTCCAGTATTGAAACATTTGCAAATGAGTAACTTCTTTTAGGCCGCCAAAAGGAAAGTATTTACGCGTACACCTTTTTGTCCCTTATTGTTTAATACTTGTTCGGAGGAACTTTCACGCAATTTGAGAATTCTACAGAGAAGAGGAGGCATTTTGTCTCGGCCGTATCGCCTGTTTTGGTCTTCTAAATATTTTACACCTTTTCGGACAGTTATGTCAACACCAGGCTCACGCTGTAAACCACCAGCCAACAGAACCAGAACCCCTGACTTTCACAACAGGCAAAATAGAAATTCGCGGGAAAGTAGTACTTTCCCAATAATATTTTTTCCAGCGTGACGGAGGAAACTTTGAGATTCTCATTCTTTCTCTATGATTAAGTATACAACGTCTTCTTTAAGTTACTTTCATCTGAGTCTCCTATTTTTTGCCCCTACAAGCATGTTCTCAATAGACAATTACATGTATGTAATAAACCAAAAAGAAAAAAAGAAAAAAGCATGTTTTTCCGACGCACTTGTCTGAAGGATGGGCAAACGACGAACCCTTGTCACTCTTAGCACGACGTTTCTTTTGTTATCCGAACATTCACAAGTTTTAACCTTTTTCAGTCCTGGCTTTGCTTTGCTTTATGCAATAACTTATGGGTTTTATATTCCAATTTGACATTTTGGAAAACGTAACCCAGGTGTAAAAGGAATTTTGGAAAGTCTTTCGACCTCAATGTAGACCAAACAAACTTGATCTGGTTATAGCCAAGCTACAGCTTAAACTCCAGATAGCTTGCATATTTTAAAGCAAACAAAATACACAGACAAAGTCTACTGAAGTGTGATTGTAAACGAAGTTGAGTTTAAATAGGATCTCCCGGTGAAATTTGGGATACTTTGGAAAACTTAAACCAGGTGTAAAAGGGTTTTTGGAGAGTCTCTTGACCCAGATGTAAACCGAGAAACTTGAACTGGTAATAGTCAATGCACAGCCCAGACTCCCAACACCTTAAACATTTTACTTAAACAAAATGTACAAATACTAAACTTTTCTGATTTTTTTTTCATAGCTCTAAGCTCCTTTAACCTAACAGTTCGTTTGGAAGTAAAAAGTTGGCATCATTCGCCAAGGGTCGTGTAACTCATTACTAAATCATTAACACTAACATGGTGTGTTTTCAGGGATTGCGAAAGTATGTCTCGAGGAAGGTAACAAAGAATACACACGAGGAGAAGCTAATAACGCGATAAACTCCTACACGGAAGGACTCCAAGTCAACTGCAAAGATAAACGACTGAACGCCAAGCTTTACAGCAACAGGGCAACAGCTAATTTCCGTTTGGGTAACAATTTCATTTCTAAATATATAAATCTCTCATGCAGCGTTACAAGATAACGGAATACACAATCTGCATCAAGAAAATTATCGTTATTAGACTGCAATTTAAGAAATTGTAATTTTTCAGGCTTCTTTGCTCTAATTTCTTTGGATGACCACATTTTTAAACCTCATTTCCTGAATCTCACAGCAAACTACGTGGAATGTCTGGATGATGCAACAGTTGCAGTTCAATTGGAACCCACTTTAATCAAAGCTATTAAGAAAGGTGGGTTTTTCAGACATAAGCCATCAACATTCTATTCTCTGATTTCGTCAAAGAGGATTGTGTGGTTTGTGGCAGTTGACTGCACCCCAAGTGTCAACTGTATCTGGTGTGTCAATGTCTGTTATGTGGGTAAAAAGCATAAGAAAATGTCAATAAGCTCTCAAATACCGCTGCCTGCTTAGTTCACGTTGCAGAGCGCCGGAGGTCGAGGGCTCAAGCGCTAGACCAGAACAACACTCAGAGTCGTAAAATATCTGAGGAGAATGTGCTGCCACCTAAGCTATGACATCTGCAAATGGTTTGATATTCTTGTGTCGGATATGGACGGAAAACCGTTACCCCCGTTTCCTGCATCTTCTCTGTAACTCTTAGCAGGGGACGTTAAAAAACCCGGCCAGGAGGCACCTGAAAAATTCTCTAACAAAAGTTGTAAACTTCTCAATGCAGTCTGCCCGAAAACTTCCCCGAAAAGTGCTGAAAAGCGCATAACAGCACATTAAAGTGAAGAATACGCTAGATAATTCATCGTTATCATCATCAATTAAAGCTTAATTGGTGGCCGCTTTGCATTATCTCCTTATTCTTCATTTTAAGTTCTTCCACAAGTTCAAATTTCCTTCATTATTACAATTTTTGTTCCCAGCTAAATGACAAATTACGTTTGTACCTTAACAGTGATAAATTACCTCGCACCACCAATTATTCTCTCCTTTTCAGGAGCCAGAGCTTGTGTCGAACTTTGCTGGTATAAAGAAGCAAGGAGCTGGTTGTATATGGGATTGGCCGTATCCTTTAACAAATGTTTGAAACGTGATACGAGATGCAATGCGAATAATATTTAAAGAAAAATCAATACGTTCCAGGAAGATTCTTCTACACATAATGCAAGCGATGTTCTCTTATACTGCACTGAGCAGTTTAAAGAAGCTAAAATGTTATCAAAGAGTTTTTTCGATTATTCCACAAAACTTTACTCAAAGAAGAGGCCATACTAATTAATTCCCAGAGTTTGAGCTGAATGCCCCTCATTTTTGTCTTCAGACGAGCATCACCATGACGACCGAACCTAAACCAATAAATGCGCTTCAGAGCTAGTTAAAACTCTCCAATGACTTGAAATCAAATCTCTAAAAAAAAACCCACGTTCGAATTATCATTCCAGTTTTAAGGTTCTATCTAATACTCTCACTGTTTTTTTAAATACACATTTCCACTGCATTTTCGCAAATCTGCTCATGATTTATCGACCCTTGACACGTTTCAAGATTGAAAATAACAACAAACGTCTGCTTCAATTACTAAGGAAAACTAATGCTGAACTAATAGTCAAAGCAAACAGTTCTTGCAGTCTCGGCAACGCTTATCAAGGTCTAGGACAGTTCAAAACAGCCATCCAGTACCATCAACGTCATCTAGAAATTGCTAAAGAAGTGGGAGACAAGGCCAGAGAGGGAAAAAGTTATGGCAATCTCGGCATCGCTTATTACAGTCTAGGAGAGTTCAAAACAGCCATCCAGTACCATCAACGTCATCTAGAAATTGCTAAAGAAGTGGGAGACAAGGCCGGAGAGGGAAAAAGTTATGGCAATCTCGGCATCGCTTATTACAGTCTAGGAGAGTTCAAAACAGCCATCCAGTACCATCAACGTCATCTAGAAATTGCTAAAGAAGTGGGAGACAAGGCCGGAGAGGGAAGAAGTTATTGCAATCTCGGCGTCGCTTATGCCAGTCTAGGAGAGTTCAAAACAGCCATCCAGTACCATCAACGTCATCTAGAAATTGCTAAAGAAGTGGGAGACAAGGCCGGAGAGGGAAAAAGTTATTGCAATCTCGGCGTCGCTTATTACAGTCTAGGAGAGTTCAAAACAGCCATCCAGTACCATCAACGTCATCTAGAAATTGCTAAAGAAGTGGGAGACAAGGCCGGAGAGGGAAAAAGTTATTGCAATCTCGGCGTCGCTTATGACAGTCTAGGAGAGTTCAAAACAGCCATCCAGTACCATCAACGTCATCTAGAAATTGCTAAAGAAGTGGGAGACAAGGCCGGAGAGGGAAAAAGTTATTGCAATCTCGGCGTCGCTTATGACAGTCTAGGAGAGTTCAAAACAGCCATCCAGTACCATCAACGTCATCTAGAAATTGCTAAAGAAGTGGGAGACAAGGCCGGAGAGGGAAAAAGTTATTGCAATCTCGGCGTCGCTTATGACAGTCTAGGAGAGTTCAAAACAGCCATCCAGTACCATCAACGTCATCTAGAAATTGCTAAAGAAGTGGGAGACAAGGCCGGAGAGGGAAAAAGTTATGGCAATCTCGGCGTCGCTTATTACAGTCTAGGAGAGTTCAAAACAGCCATCCAGTACCATCAACGTCATCTAGAAATTGCTAAAGAAGTGGGAGACAAGGCCGGAGAGGGAATCAGTTATGGCAATCTCGGCGTCGCTTATGGCAGTCTAGGAGAGTTCAAAACAGCCATCCAGTACTTTCAACGTAATCTAGAAATTGCTAAAGAAGTGGGAGACAAGGCCGGAGAGGGAAAAAGTTATGGCAATCTCGGCGTCGCTTATGACAGTCTAGGAGAGTTCAAAACAGCCATCCAGTACCATCAACGTCATCTAGAAATTGCTAAAGAAGTGGGAGACAAGGCCGGAGAGGGAAAAAGTTATGGCAATCTCGGCGTCGCTTATGACAGTCTAGGAGAGTTCAAAACAGCCATCCAGTACCATCAACGTCATCTAGAAATTGCTAAAGAAGTGGGAGACAAGGCCGGAGAGGGAAAAAGTTATGGCAATCTCGGCGTCGCTTATGACAGTCTAGGAGAGTTCAAAACAGCCATCCAGTACCATCAACGTGATCTAGAAATTGCTAAAGAAGTGGGAGACAAGGCCGGAGAGGGAAGAAGTTATTGCAATCTCGGCGTCGCTTATGACAGTCTAGGAGAGTTCAAAACAGCCATCCAGTACCATCAACGTCATCTAGAAATTGCTAAAGAAGTGGGAGACAAGGCCGGAGAGGGAAAAAGTTATGGCAATCTCGGCGTCGCTTATGACAGTCTAGGAGAGTTCAAAACAGCCATCCAGTACCATCAACGTCATCTAGAAATTGCTAAAGAAGTGGGAGACAAGGCCGGAGAGGGAAGAAGTTATGGCAATCTCGGCGTCGCTTATGACAGTCTAGGAGAGTTCAAAACAGCCATCCAGTACCATCAACGTCATCTAGAAATTGCTAAAGAAGTGGGAGACAAGGCCGGAGAGGGAAGAAGTTATTGCAATCTCGGCGGCGTCGCTTATGCCAGTCTAGGAGAGTTCAAAACAGCCATCCAGTACCATCAACGTCATCTAGAAATTGCTAAAGAAGTGGGAGACAAGGCCGGAGAGGGAAAAAGTTATGGCAATCTCGGCGTCGCTTATGACAGTCTAGGAGAGTTCAAAACAGCCATCCAGTACCATCAACGTCATCTAGAAATTGCTAAAGAAGTGGGAGACAAGGCCGGAGAGGGAAAAAGTTATGGCAATCTCGGCATCGCTTATGACAGTCTAGGAGAGTTCAAAACAGCCATCCAGTACCATCAACGTCATCTAGAAATTGCTAAAGAAGTGGGAGACAAGGCCGGAGAGGGAAAAAGTTATGGCAATCTCGGCAACGCTTATCACAGTCTAGGAGAGTTCAAAACAGCCATCCAGTACCATCAACGTCATCTAGAAATTGCTAAAGAAGTGGGAGACAAGGCCGGAGAGGGAAAAAGTTATGGTGGTCTCGGCAACGCATATCAAGGTCTAGGAAAGTTCAAAACAGCCATCCAGTACCATCAACGTCATCTAGAAATTGCTAAAGAAGTGGGAGACAAGGCCGGAGAGGGCAGAAGTTATGGCAATCTCGGCAACGTTTATGGCAGTCTAGGACAGTTCAAAACAGCCATCCAATACAATCAACGTGATCTAGAAATTGCTAAAGAAGTGGGAGACAAGGCCGGAGAGGGAACCAGTTATTGCTGTCTCGGCAGTATTCATCTCCGTCAAAGAGAGTTGAAAACGGCAATCGAGTGTTTTCAACGTCACCTAGAAGTATCCAAAGAAGTGGGAGATAAGACTGGAGAGGCGTGCTCACTCTGTTCCCTTGGAATCAGTTTTGAGTGCCAAGGAAATCTTACGAGGGCCTTTGACTGTTATTACTCGAGTGTTGAATTGTATGATGATATCAGGGCCAGTCTTCAATTCAACGATCAGTGGAAGATTTGTTATCGTAATCAGCACCAAGTAGCATACAAAGGTTTGTGGCGTATAAATCTCAATCGAGGTCAAGTTGTGAAGGCTCTTCTTGCCGCAGAGAAAGGACGTGCTCAAGCTCTGAGAGATCTCATGGTCACAAAATACCAGCCTGGAGATTCTTTAACGCCCAGCGCATCCCGCATTTCTCTGAGGTGGGTTCCATTGAGCACAGTTTTCGTAGCTATTAGTGGACCGTGCGTTTACTTCTGGGTTTGCCTCAGTGAAAATAATATCCAGATGAGAAAAGTACACGTGAACAATTACAAGTATGAGGATGAGTTGGAATTTTTCATCCAGCTACTGAACAAAACTGCTCTTAAGGAGATCGGCGCAAGAGATACTGTTACCATCGAGAATCCTCCGCTTGACTCGCCGACAGAAGAGGAAGTGGCCAATGATGTGATCCGAGTTGATGTGAGACACTCCCAATCAAGTGCTTTAAAGAAGCTGCATGACATCATCGTTACTCCTATTGCTGACCTGATCGAAGGCAACGACGAGATCACATTCGTTCCTGAGGGGCCATTTTGCCTTGTACCTTATACAGCGTTGCAGGACTCCAACTCATCATATCTAAGTGATTCTTTCAGAATTCGTGTGCTTCCCTCCCTGACGACCTTGCAACTAATTCATGATTGTCCAGCTGACTTTCACATGAAGACTGGTGCATTGCTTGTCGGCGACCCATGTTTCAAACACATCATCTATGAGGGAACACTTTTGGTGCAACTCCCAGGAGCAAGGAAAGAAGTGGAGATGATCGGACGTATCCTAAATGTCTCCCCCCTCACTGGAGAAATGGCAACAAAACAGGAAGTGTTAAAACGAATATCATCAGTGGCGTTAGTTCATATTGCAGCGCACGGTAAAAAGGAAACTGGAGAAGTTATCCTGGCACCAAACGCCACAAGAGAAAATCCTCAGCCGCAAGAGAAAGACTATCTACTGACGATGAAAGATGTCATAGAAGCTGGGTTGCGAGCACGTCTGGTTGTACTTAGCTGCTGTCACACTGCTCGTGGGGAGGTCATGGCCGAGGGTGTAGTCGGCATGGCGCGTGCACTTTTGGCTGCCGGTGCCAGATCTGTTGTGGTAACCTTGTGGGCGATTGGCGACGAGGGAACCCTGGAGTTCATGAGTTTCTTCTACCATGCACTGGCCAAAGGCAAGAAGGCAAGTGAAGCTCTCAATCAGGCCATGAAGTGTATGAGAGAAATTGAAAAGTTCAAGGAGGTGATTTACTGGGCACCATTTGTACTCATTGGTGACGACGTCCAGCTGGATTTCAAAGATATTTCGAAGCTGAAGTAAGTAAATATTCTGTTTACACATTCTATTCAATACAAAGTTACATAAAATCATAATTATGGCTTATATGTTTCAGTTGGGTTACGAATTTATGTTTTGCTCCGGCAAATTGAGATGCAGTACAATCAAGAGGACACGTTTACGATGATAACATTCTTTTTAGGAAACCTGATAGGAGTAAAAAGCATTTTTTTAAAAACAATCCTGTTGTGCAATGTATCGTTTCATGTGCTAAGAAATATTTCATGGCAACTTAACTATCCTCCCTAAACTTAGATTCTTTTATTTTTCAGTTAAGTCAGTGAGCATTGGAATCCCAGGGAGTTTTAGGATACCTGCACACGCTGATATTTGGACCAGAAACCAGTAAGCTACCGATGAAATATTTGTCAAGAGTCTTCTTTTCAAAGCAGGAAGAACCAAAAGACGGCCAAAGTCAAGTCTAACAAGAGAACGGATTTCCATTGATTCAAAAGTTGACTTTTTGCTTGTCTGAACTGCTCTTACGAGCTTCATCTTTGATATCCTGCCGGAACAAACTTTTTTTTTTATTTGATGTCTAGGAATTATCATGACAAGCTATGTAAAAAGGTTTTTTTTAAATCTAAGTATTAGCTACTAAGAGGATTAAGGCTTGCGTTTACGTCGAAGTTGAAACGTCTTGAAAACGTTTTCCACAGTTTTTTTACAGATTTTTCTTAATCGGATTTTGTCTCATGAGTGATGTAAAGCTGTTGTAGCCATGTGCATGTGTGGAGAATTTCCATGGAAATTAGAGAATAATCAGTTGTCCGATTGCTCGATTATCTTAGTTTATGTCAGATGGAAATTGTAATTAACTTTTCGAGGATTTGTACCCAGTCATTGGCACCTAAAGTTTGTTTCTGCCGATCAGAATTTGGTTTATCTGCACTTAAATGACAGATTTTGGTTGTAATGGCCAGAATTTAATCCTGGTATTAGTTAATTTTCGGAGATTTTTCCTTTAATTTTGAAGGCGATAAATTGTGTTATTTTTTACAAGCAGAACGATGCATTTTAAGTATTTTGTTTAAACTAATCGTCTAGAGGCAAAACGTGAAGTTTTATATTAATTTTAGTTACTGGCGCACAAAGCTTTAAAAGAAGCTCAGAACGAGCTAGAAAGTTGGAGCCAAATGATTTCATTTAGTTTCTCCGATTAGATTGTTTACCTATTATCTAAGTACAATAAACTAACATTTGAATGTCAAACAATGAAACAAGTCGCTTGGCATTTTGTTAGAATGGAAGAGGAAATCAGTAACAAAGGGAAGAAAAATTTCTGCATCAACCTGCATAAGACATTTCTTGTCGTTTGAAGTAGTGAGCGCGCCTAAGTCTTATTCCCTTAATAACTTTTGCCCACCCCTTTGATTAGGTTTATTGAATGAGAGATGAATTTCGATGTTTTCTGACTCTATAACTGCTAGTATCGATCATAGGCAGCCGTTCCCGAGGATGTCACGCACGCACTTCTTTAGCGCGTCATGCGACAGATGTGGTGTTTTGTCACATCTTGTCGTTTGAAGTAGTGAGCGCACCGATGTCTCATTCGTTCAACTTTGCCCATTGCCTTGGATAGAGTTATTAAATGAGATATAAACCTCGATATTTTCAGATCTTATAACTGCAAGTTTCATCGGTAGCCGTTCCTTAGGATGTCACGCAACGCGCTTCTTTTGCATGTAATGAGACAGATATGATGTTTTGTCAAAAATCGTTGGAGGCAAGAAAAGAGAAATTGCCTTTCACTTTGGGAGATGGTGCTTTAATCTGTTTATCGAAAGCGTCCTTATCATAGGAGGTACCCTAGGTCGGTACGGTTCCACGAGTATAGAAAATATTGATGACTTTTTTTTCCACGATTGCAAACTTAAGTGCCGCTCTCGCTAAGAGCGGTCCTCTCGACTTCCCGTCCAAAAAAAGTTTTCCTTTATTTTTTGCCCATGAAAAGGGTTTAGGACACATATTTCAAAAATAGTTTGGTTGTTCTCTAATTCTCTTTTTTCGCGTCGCCACAAGCCAAAAGTGATTTTTGGCTAGACCCCCTGTGTAGACAGCGATCGAAAGTGTAGTTTTAACTTTTTTCGAGGCTGCTGCGACTACAGTAATGTAGCTCACGGAATTCTCTCTTGCTAAAAGTTTCAAGATATATTCAGTCAGTTCACAGACAAAATATGAAAACTTCACTTGAAATCCTATTCATACCAGCGTGATCAGAAGAGAACCTTCCCTTCGACCTTAATTTGCATATGAAAAATTCATCAATTTATAGGAAATAATTCTCGAAATGCAGGTGTAAATCGGGCTCAAAAAGTATATCAGTGGATAGTTTATGCACCAATGAGGTCACTGCTTGCCTCAAACCCGCGAGTGTCTCTCTAGTTTTCATCCACCAACATCTTGAAAACAACGCAAATCCGTGTGTTTACTCATTACGCAAATGTCAAAGCACGTAGAAGATAAACTAGCAAAGTTTGAACGGTCAAGGAGATATTTTGGTCAATTTTCATAATTATGCAAATAAGCTGAAAATGAATCCCAAGTTGTCTTAAGACGTTGTATAAACGAGATCAGTCGTAACGCTAGCAGGACCAACAAAGTCAACAAAAGCGATCGAAAGACGTTTCCCTTGAATCTGGTCATGAACCACGCACAGAGTGGAGAAGATCAAAATTAAAGAACACAACTTGGCACTCTGGTCATTGCGTATATACTGCGTAGCTTAAAGGTACATGGAAACAATTGAAATATATGTACGTTTCGGAGTTTTTTACAAAACAATACGTGTACACTCTGCAAGAATTCTTGCAGTTTCGACCAAGGTTTAGCACACGGAATGCAATCATCGGGCGTTCCTTTCTGAAAATTTGCTGCCATCATTAAATATTTTATGCTGTTACAGACCACAACGTTCTTGAGGGACGACTCCATATATCTTTTCCTGCGACTATCCAAACCAGTGAGGCAAACTCGGATTGGTGTATTGCGTGACGCGATTATGCCAAATAGTTCACGTGATATGTGACTCGTTTCGCGGGTATGAAAATTGAACCTAAAAAGTAGTTAATGTAACGAATTAGAATGAACTGAAGTAAAGGAAATGGGGATGGTATTGAGCTTGCAATGTTCTATCCCCTCGCTTAAGCTAAGGTCGTGCCCCACGTGTTTGCTTGGCGGAGAGGAGAGTTACTTCAGTTATTCATATGTTTTGAGAAATTTATCCCAGAAAAATGTCTACATGTTTCTTGGAAAGCAGAGATTGTAGTGGCTGCGGGCATTTCAGCGGAGTTTCAGCCCCGATATCTCTCCTGGAATGCCAGGACGACGTATCAAGTCATTTAAAGTATTACCACCTATCCAGCAAAATCTTAGAGTACGAGTTGATTTTGTTTCGTTCCGGTCATTTTGGCCTCGAAATGGGAAAATTAAAACAGATGTTTGTTTGTTCTAAAACGCTTTGGGAAAACATTGGAAATGTGGTAAAAGTACTTGTCAGCATCCAGAGCACAAAGGAAAATGAGAGAGAAAGGAGACCAAGTGTTCAACGCCAGACTGGCTAGAGATGTTTTCGAAGTTTACAGAATTACAGTTGCAGTCGGATCACGTGAGTAATATTTTTTAATTTCTCGATTGTGAGAAGGCTAGTATCTTTCTAATAATTTATTCGCAAGGGCCTATCTGAGTTAGAATCGTCTCCATAAAATCATAGGACAACTCTTTGCCATGAAAAATGTCTCTGTCTTTGCATCGGCTTAAAAATTTCAAAGCTGTCAAATTTCGTCAGCGCTTGATCTGCTCATATGACTGGCCGGCATGGTTTGCCAATGGATTCAAACTTCAATTCCCAGGATTCATCTTAAGTCTTTTCAAAGTTTTAAAAATCCACGAGTTTCGCAAGAAAAGACTACTACTGTCTACTCTGGTGGCACCCTTTGTAACAAATGATCGACAAGTTCAACACGGCTTTGTTTATTTAGTCGCTTTAACACCCGTGGGAAATTTTGTCGGCGGTGTACTGATAGATTTTCCTGCTTCAGCCAATATTTGTCAAGTCGCGACAAACCATCCATATTTTTAAAAGGTGTTTTTGAAGAAAGAAAATGTTTCGAGATAAACAATTTTTTTTTGCTGGTGTGGATCCAGATAGGATCTAGGCCCTCTTGAGCATATATGCACCGCGCTATTCAGCGAGATCCTTAAAAAAATTCACCAGCCCTTTGAAAAACTGAGCGATCGACAAATGAGGAAGGCAAGGGCTCATGGCAAAAATGTCGGAGCTGGCTTTAACCTCAACAAAATGCCACACCACAGAGTCCGAATAGACTTGGTGAAACTTGATAATTTTCTGTCTTTTGTAGACCAACCATATTTTTATCAAGATGTGGGCTATGGAACAAGGACTTGACTCTGGGGATCATCTCGTCATGCCAAATGTCATCAGAATTGTTGGACGATCAACGATGATTGAACAGTATCTTAAACACTGTTGCGAGGAAGATTTCGACCCCCTTGGAAAACCAACGCTTTACAGAATTTTACAAGTAAGAGAGGCCTCTCAAAGGCGGTCCCTTCAAGGGCTAGACAACACTGCTGTAAGTGGAACGGAAGGGTTCGAAGCAATGCACAAGATAGTAGAGGAATTGGAAGAGGGAGGGGCAACTGAAAAGTGGTGTGAAGAAGTTCGAAGAGCACTGAAGGATGCCAAGCGATACCTGAAGACAGAGTATGGGATGCACTGTCAGGAAGATGGTAGTCCTTGCCCTGACCATTGTATGTGTTTTTCTTTAAGTGATCCTCAAAACCCCGAGTTTCAAGGAAGTTGTTCCCATGAACATCACGCAAGCTGTGATAGTTGCGAAAGTTTGAAATCCGTGATTCAAGCAATTGGAAAAGGAATTGAATCTCCTTCGATAACTTTTGACAACATAGAGAAGAAAGAGGACCTGAAACACGACCATGATGAAGCCAGAGAGGCGATTTTTCAGTGGAAGGCGCATATTATCAGGACTAAGAACTAGGAGAGAGCAAAACAGAATTTACTCACATCCCTCCAAAAGAATGCCTCTCTTATTGTCATGGACTGGGCCATGAAGTTCATCCAACTGAAATAGAGAAAAGCAGTCTGAGTGGTTCGGAAAGAGAGGAATAAATTGGCATGTTAGTTCAGTTATTACCAGGAATGCAGAGGACAACGGCCTTGAGATTATGTCATATGTTCATCTATTCTAAAGCTGTGCCCAAGACTGGTATACGGTTTGCGCAATTCTGGAAAACCTTCTCGGCAACATCAGACAGATCAAGCCTACCGTAAACGAGGTATTTTTGCGATCAGATGGCGCAGGCTGTTAGCACAACAATAATCTAATTGCAGCTGCCTCTAACGTTGGTACAAGCGTTGGAATCAAGGTGATGAGGTAAGTTGAAAATGCTTTTCAGATTACAACACGAACACATTCTTCAAAGTTGCATGCGCCTTCCAAAAGCATGCGAACTCTTGGCTTGATCGACTTCAGAACTAAACTTTCATGCTGTTT